CGTAACGATCAAAATACAGACGAAAATGGACATCGGATGAAGAAGTTATGAGATTTTAACGGACCAATCTTGTCCCTGCCTGTTCAAAATATAACTTTAAAAATAAAGTCAAAATTAGCCGACAGAGTCTAAACAGAAGTTGTAGAGTACGTCTCCACCTACGCGTGGATATAAATAACGTCAAAAACGGAGTTCTTATGAACGAGTTACAAATTATAATAGCATATTTACGTATTAAAATAAATTATAAATCATATATACGTACACATATATATACATATGTATATATCATTAGAAAGGTATCGACGACGCGGTCATTATAAGACTAATGTTGAGTTCTTTCGATATTAGTTTAGTACAAATATCGTTAAATCTATTTAAAATAGTATTATAAATGAATGTTTAGTTGTTTATATAACTATGAGGTCATTAAGTAATTATGGATGGTAGCTTTTGAAAAATCAATTAGTATAAATAAGGGCCTCTAGCTCTCATATTTCTTGCACCATTCTCTTGATTCAAGAGTCTTTCTCTTCTTATCCCCGAGCATTTCGGTCCCTCGTGATTCGACTTCTATTTCTGTAGTTTTAGTATAGTAAGGTGAGCGCTGAAGCGCTGCACGAATCTTTCTTAGAAAGATTCAGCGACGAAGTTCTGCCCCTGCAGAGACCGACTCCTAGCTAAAATCCCCTTGTAAGAAAGTTATGCTTACCTTATTTTAATATAGCTTATATTTAAAATTAATATTGTTATTATGAACTTATAATAAATATTTGGGCTATTATTATGACTTATATATGTGTCGTTATAATATCTTTTTAACTACTCGCGGTACGAGGAATCTGGTTTACAGGTTCGCATAGGGTTGTTGGATTTCAGAAGTGCTATACGCCAAAATGGTCCTGCCTTCCGGTGTTTTATGTCTGCCCCCTATCTGTACATAGTGGTTGGAAAGTATTGTTTAAACGCTTATATAATAATAATAATAAGACTAATAATTAGTCACGGTAAATATTAGACTAAAATCTAGTGGTAATAATACCAGGTTTCGTTGAAGGAAATTATTTTAAAGTAAACGAAGCACTGTCCGAGTACCGAGTCACCACCTTCTCAGGTGAGTGCATGGTGCCTTTCATCTTACACATAGATATGAAGTATTTAATATATATTACATGTTGTGAGTGCATAGTTACTTTCATCTTACACATAAATATGAAGTATTTTATATAAATTACGTTCTATGTGTGCATATTATCTGAGTACCTGTTGTCTATGCCAGATGAACGATTTTCTACATGTTTTAAATGATTTAAACTGTATATGTATTTTATATCTACGATAATGTTGGGGTAAAACATGGGTAGATGTAATAGATGGAATATAAGTTGGATGATGAGTTGAGAGGTGTTATAGACCACGAGGTGAGGGTGAGAGGTGGATGACGTGAGAAGCCTTTCCCAAATGATGGCCCCATCATTCAGCAGAGTATGGATGACAACCACGGACTATTCTAGACAGTCCAATGGAACACTAGCAGGCTCACAACCTGTAGGTGTTGTGAACGATGTGTTTACCCGGTGTACTCTAAACTTTGGCGACCATGCAGACTTGGTGTCTAAACCTTGGTGATCATGCAGACTTGATGCCTAAACCCTGGCGACTATGTAGACTTAGTTCCCGTTGTGTAAACCTTGGCGATCATGCAGATTTGATGCCTAACCCCTGGCGACTATGCAGACTTAGTGCATGTTGTGTAAACCGTGGAAAACGATGGACTTCGTGAAGATTCCTTAGTATGATCCTTAGGAATAAATGAACGAGGAATAACTGATTCTTAGGGTAGATCCTTAAGAGTAAAGAAGATAATGGGGATGGATAATTGGGTTGATTGTTTGATGTTTAAACATAATAATTATATTATTGTGGGTTGAAAACCCTATTTACCCACCAGGTTTCCCAACCTGACCCACTCAGTTTATTTATATCACAGGTGACGATGTGAAGTTACCTTACACTGAGAGGTTAAGGAGATATAGATCACTAGTGATAATGAATGTAAGTTTAGTTTATGCTTATGTTTCTGTATTGACGATGACATCCCAAATGTTTTAAAACGAATAAAAATATTTTTCTTCGGAAATGCTTTGATAATGTATTTATCATGTTTTACTGGGAACAAATTCCGCAACATCTTTATTAAAAGAGGTACTCTGATTTTCATAAAGTATAAACAAAATCGGTCTTTTCTGACCGTGAAAATGGGGATGTCACAAATATGAAAAACAATATATTTGGGTCTCTCGGTGATTTGATGTTGTCATTCATGTGCAAGGCATTGCCCATACTAAATTGATGTATTCAATCAGTAGTCTGAACCTAGTCATCATAAATTGGAAATCAAGAAATATAATCTTGGACTATAAGATTGATTTATATCCATGTCTCGTATCCATACGATATCTTATAGAACAAAGAAATAATTGATCACTTACTTAAGGGCCATGTGTGATTATATCAAAATTCAATAGTGGTTGTTGAAAACACATTTCGATGGTTATTTGAAGTCTATATTTGCGATTTTAGTTAAAGACTCGTCTAAGTGGGAGACTATTTGAATATGTGTCCAATGTCATAACTAAATTGGCCAAAGTCAAAACTAAATAGGTATAACTTTATGGAATAAACGTAAAGTCCTTTTTGGTTTGCCCTCAATAACTAGAAATAGCTAAAAATTACTTTAGGAGTGAGATAAAATGATTTGTTAATTTATTATATGATTAATAAATTAATTATAAACAATTGGAATTAATTAATTTTTAATCAGAATTAATCTAGAATTAATTCATGATTAATTGTAATTAATTAAAGTTACAATGGTTGAATTGTAATCGTTCAATAATTGAACAAAAGAAGCAATTCTAGAACCTTCCATGGTATGGATGGTTTTAATGGTTCTAGAAAGGTTCTAGATTTGTCTTGATAGCTAAAAAGGATAATTATCATGAATAGATTAAATTTAATATTTAATTATAGAAATCAGAGTTTATCTTGGAGATCCCTTAGCTATAAATATGACACGTTGGCTCCTAAATTTCGTGGCTCTTACCTTTCATAAGGTGGAATACAAATTTCTCTTCATATATCATATCTACTTTTGGTTTCTAATGTTCTAGGGTTTTGAGTGTGAGCCATTAGAGGTGTTTATATGTTTGGCGCTTGCTTTACATGAGTTATTATATTCGATTATACTAAAATATGTATGTATCTTAATCCATGTATATTCGGTTATACAAAAATGTATGTATCTTAATCCATGTAAATTTTGATTATACCTTGTTAGTTTGTAGTTTTCATAGTATGTTGTTATTATGAGAAAAGTCATAGATATCTAGATTGCACGTGCTCATAAAATAGTTTATGAATCCGCTGCATTATTAATTTGTTTTGTAACCTCCAAAATCCATCATGATCGACTGCCTACACATTTAATTCTCTAAAAAAAGGTTAGAGCTCCAATTGATTATGTGTCATGTGTATGTTGGGAGTATAATAAGTGGAACATATTTTCTTCTAGTGTGATTTGGTGATGAGCATTTGGAATTTAGTAGAGAGATGGTGTGATTTAATTTCTCATGCCTCGGTTAATATTCAAGAATGGCTATCTTGTATTAATGATGGTAGAATGTGGATACAATTCACAAACCAATGTATGAGTAGAAGTGGTGTTTCTTACCACTAATTTGGAGATTTAAAAACAATTTAGTGTTTGATTCTTGTAAAATACATATTAACAATATTGTTTTATTTTATATCTCTTGGTTTTAAAACTGTTTAGTCTTCCAAAGTGGAATGATCAGATTAGAAACTCTATAATTTTTCTTCTTGCAATTTGTTAGAAGTATGAATATATAAAGTTTTGTTGTTGAAAGAAGGGATAATGACTTGAAAGGGTAATGAACTTTCGACTAAGTTCACATTAGTCACTAAACTTTTTTTTTGTTATCTATTTGCCACTGAACTATTGAAACTGTTCACATTTTACCATTATGGCTGGTTGTTACCAATCATAAGGGTAAAATGTGAACAATTTCAATAGTTCAGTGGCAAACATATAATGAAAAAAAGTTTAGTGACTAAATGTAAACAAAATCGAAAGTTCGTTTCCCTCTAAAAAAGTTCAATGACTAAATGTGAACAAACTTTCTCTTGTATTATGTTTTAGAAAATTATTTATTTTTGTTAAATTCTAGCAACATTTGTTGATGAATAAATCTATGAAATAACAAAACAAAACTCCAAAAAATATATTAAAAAACTGGAAAAACCGAAACTGAAATAAAAAACCAATGGTTTGGTATTTTTTTTTAAATAAAAAATAAAAAAATTCCAATTTGATTTTGGTTTTACAAAAATTCAACTTTTGAATTTCCATATCTAAATCTCTCAATCCTTTTATAATCGAAAAATGATTATAAAACCAAAAAAGGAATGAGAAAGGGCTCAATTCAAAATTTTTCTATCCAAAATCCACATTAACACATGGCATAAACATTTTGCTTCCATTCGGAAAATCCAAAAAATCTTCAATTTTTAGCTTCGTTCACGAACCGCTTTTGACAAAAATTTGGGTAGAAATTGTCAATTTCAAAATTCTGTCAAAGTCGGTCCGTGAATGAAGCTAAAAATTGAAGATTTTTTTGGATATTCCGGTTTGAAGCAAAATGTTTATGACATTTGTTATGGTGGAGTTTTGGACAGAAAAATTATGAATTGAGCGCTTTCTCATTCCCTTTTTGGTTTTATAATAATTTTTCGATTATAAAAAGGAGGAGAGATTTAGATATGAAAATTCAAAAGTTGAATTTTTCATATTATGCGGATTTGAAGACCGAAGTGACCTCGAGTATTTGAAGTTTATGAAATGATTCGTTTGGAGATTCGGAAGTGATTTCGGTTCATGATAGGTTTAGACTTATTGAAGATTTTTGGAGTGTGCATAAATGCTTAAATTTTGGGTAATTTTTTTGGAGAATGAGAAACGCCTAATTACCTTTTGATGCTAGGTTTGTATGGTCTCACGTTCTAGAACCCAGATTGAAAAGTCATGGAATAATTGAAGATTTGATGTTCATCTCTACATGTGTCACGTTTGAGGCTCGGTTTGTGAAGTTGCTCGAGTTTGGAAGATTTGAAGCGGGTCAATCATTCCTAACTTTGAGGAGGATAATGTTGGGTACAAAGTTATCCAGGCATGACTTTGTAAATGGTTTGACTTTTATAGACCCACTTGCATGTGGTAAAGTATCCGTGTGACATGAGAGATAGGGGGAGAGAGAGAGAGATAGAGAGATAGAGAGACATATAAAGACCTTTATATAAGGTGAGTTCATACCATATGCAGAGGTGTGCTTGAGAGATGTAACATTGAGAGTGTTAGTGTATGTTAATTATATAGATTCAGATCTAGATCCTTTTTTTGTAAACACCTTTCATTATATAGATTCAGATCTAGATCCTTTTTTTGTAACATTGAGAGTGTTAGTGTATGTTAATTATATAGATTCAGATCTAGATCCTTTTTTTGTAAACACCTTTCATTATATAGATTCAGATCTAGATCCTTTTTTGTAAACACCTTTTATAATCGAATGCATCTCTTAAACACCCAAATCACCGTGTTCTTTGTGTGTTCTCCGCATGTCAAACCAATGGTCATAATTCACATCAGTGAGAATGATTCATTTTTTGTAAAACCAAAATCAGATTGGAAATTTTGGTTTTTTATTTTGGAAAATACCAAACCATTGGTTTTTTATTTCCGTTTCGATTTTTCGTTTTTTTAAGTATATATTTCGGTTTTTTTTTTTCATAGATTTTCTTCATCAAAAAAATGTTGCTAGAATTTAAAAAACTCAATAATTTGCTAAAACATAATACAAGAGGAAGTTTGTTCACATTTAGTCATTAAACTTTTTTAGAGGGAAACGAATTTTCGATTTTGTTCACATTTAATCACTAAACTTTTTTTATTATATATTTGCCACTGAACTATTGAAAATGTTCACATTTTATCCTTATGACCGGTTGTTACCGGTCATAAGGATAAAATGTGAACATTTTCAATAGTTAAGTGGCAAATAGATAACGAAAAAAAATTTAGTGACTAAATGTAACAAAATCAAAAATTTGTTACCCTTTCAAGTTGTTGTAAAAAAGCCATTCTAAAAAAATTTATTTATAACATTGTCTATCTAAGAGTTCGAAGTCCAATCCTAAACATAAACGAAATTTACACTTAAAAAGAAAAACCTAAACTATAAGGAATTTAGAAGTAAATTAAATTTACAGTTAAAAAAAAAATAAAATTAAATAAAAAAACGAAAAGTGAAAAATAATAATTGGCGCGTTGAAAATCAAAATATGTTGATAACGAAGAATCTGGAAACCATATAAGGCTACTTTTGTAATTTAACCTAACTATTTCCCGACGCATTTCTCTTCTTTACTTTCGTGCAGAATAGTACTACGAGCAGAAGGTTAGTTCACGGGTCTTCGTTAATCTTTCAAATCGTAAAGGTTGCGATCTTCAATGGAGATCAGTGTTATGAGCTTCACGTTACCATCATCATTCAGATCTATTCAAGTAACTGCTGCTAATCCGATCTATACTCCTCCGATCTGCGATACGAAGAGAGCAGCAAGATGTCGGAGGATTTCAGTTGTCGTGAACGGAATAGGAGGAGGAGGATCGGCCAAGTACAAAGGAACACAGATGAGAGAGCAAAAGCTGACGGAATTGATCGAGTCAAAAGTCGCTGAAGCGACGCAAGTTTGCGAGGGAGATCGTGATTCCGACGAGTGCAAGGTGGCGTGGGACGAGGTGGAGGAGGTGAGTCAGGCGAAAGCTGATCTCCGGCGAAAACTGGAGGAGAACAAGGATCCTTTACAGTCGTTTTGTGAGGAAAATCCTGAGACGGATGAGTGTCGTATCTACGAAGACTGAAATCCACCGACAGATGATTCATGATCGGCGACTTCCTCCGGCAATGTATGTTTTCATTATCATGGTGATTATATGCTAATGGATGATTATCTTATGTGTTTACTACTTTTTTACTTATAATCCAGTACAAAATTGGTTCCAGTTTTAGTCATTGATTAGGTTAATTACTGATTGTAATTAAGAATCGTTATCACGAATCATGATGATTATGGTAGAAATAAAATTGGAATCCGAATCGGAAATTCCTGTTTTGGAAACAAGTGGGGGACAGGACCCATCATAGCGAACATTGTATTAAGCATCTGGGATTCTGGATAACTCATACGATTTCGTTGAAAATTGGCCTACAGAAGGAAACAAAATAAATATAAACCAAAAAAGTCTTTTGAAAATTGAAAATGATATTGGAGGAGTTTTTCAAACCAAAACTTTTTGAACTAGTTTGTTAACAAACTCTTAGTTGATGAGTTCTTTAAAATTTTTGATAGTTTACAGGTATTAGACAAACAATATTAAAATGATAAAAATATAATTATCGGGTCCAATAAACAAACAAATTAAAAATATATATATTCTTAGTTAAGTATGAAGATAGCATGATTGTTGTAACTGCCGACAACTCCAAACTGACAAATGCCAATGGCACATGATGGTATTTGGTAATGTTCCTTTTTTGCCTAAAAGAGAATAAAAAAGAATTGATGTTGCAAAAATATTTATCACGTACAGGGAATGAAAAAGATTTTAATATCGATATCATAGTTAACAACAAACGGGTCACTATGTGTTATTAGGATATGATGATAAAGTATTTACAAAAATTTGAGACCCCGTCAAAACCAATAGCCTAAGATTGGCTAGTGTGGGCAAAGCCCATCGGTGTTATTGTGTTCTGACCATCAAGATAATGTCGTTGCAAGCCTGGAACACCGCCCCGCTTAGGGGTTATGTTATGATGCGTTGTTGTGGTAACGAAATGAAACAATCGTTTTCTTCTCTTCTTCCTTTCTCACGATGATGTTTTCATGGCAAACAACACTCCTTTTTGCTGTTTTCGTGATGTTTTCCCAGTGTAATGTCATAAAAATGCAAGTAGGAGTTGTCCACACTTTACAACCTAAGGTTGCAAATATTGCATATGTTTACAAAACGATGAAGAACCAAAACGTTGACCTTTGGTATATGTGACTAAGTCATGTGAGCTACGACAAATTAGACATGATGATGAAAAAAAGACTTGTAAATGCGTGCATGTTGCTTGTTTGGTAAGGCTCATACGTTGCCCTATGAAAAGTCAAACTATCAGGCAAATGTTCCTTTGGAGCTGGTACATTCAGACGACTTTGGATGTGTAAAACAATTTTCAATTAATGGAATGAAGTATATGATTAAGTCAAGAGACGAATTCTTTAGGTTTGTGTGGGTATATTTCACGAAGGAGAAGTTTGAAGCTTTGATAAGCTTAAGGAATTCAAAGTCGGAGTAGAAACCGAAACCAAGCATAGTGCACGTAAGCTCAAATCAAACAATGATGGTGAATATCTTGCAAAAGAGTTCACAAAGTACTTGAAGGAACATAAAATATAACCAAACTTAATGTGTCCTAACACATCATAACATAATGGTGTCTCAGAACGGAAGAATATGCATCTAGTTGATGTTTGTGGAGCTATGATCCACGACAAAAATATCATTGGTCGTTTCTAGGCAGAAAGGAGGAACACAATTAATTATGTTATCAATCGTAAACCTTGGCAAAGCCTCTAGTACGTATCACGATACGTGAAACTTTTGAAACTAAACCCAACGTAGGCTAACTTTACGTGTTTGGTTGTTTCCGTTATGTCTTCATATCTGGCCACCTATGCCATAAGATAGACAAGAAAGCTATATGATGCATATTTGTGGCGAGCGAACAAGAGCGGAAAGGGTGGCGTTGTTGTGACTCCAACAATGGAAGATACTATGTTTCCAGGAATGTAGTCTTTGACGAGACATCTTTATGGTGGTCTACTATCATGAAACCCTTCTTAACATCGATGCACTCAATTAAGATCTAAAGTCATCTAAAGTTTATTTAATGTTGATAAGGGTGAAACGATTATCAAGAAGAACCTATTTGTGTTCATAATCAACAACTGTAACATTTCGTTTGTAATTGAGTAATTAAATAATAAACCATGAACCCTAAGATGTAAAATTATATTTTATATTATTCTATAGTAGCCATAAAATCCATAATATTTAGCGGGGTGTTGGTTCCGGGGAGATAAATGATATAATTTGGATTTTCGGGGGTTAAAGTGTAATTCTGGGATTTATTTTGTAAAGATTTTCAGAAGTCAGGGGGTGTTCGGTAGAATATTGGACTTAAATTGAAGGGATTTTGGAATGTTGATGGTTGAATGGTAAATTATGTGCTTAAGTTTAAAAGAATTGTCATGGAGGGGCTGAAAGTGTATTATGAGCAAAGAGTTCATATGAGCGGGTATTAAACTCGTCACCTTCTCCAAACCAAACCCTAACCCTAACTTGCTCTAACACCAGCCGCCACCTTATCAACCTTCAACTACCGCTATCGACTTTGGCCGCCTCCTAGCACCACTGAGCGTCCACCAGCGGCCTTGTTGTCGGCATTATTGAAGACTGACGGGAACTGGGAAGACGCCACATCAGTTGGAGATCGAAGGAGCAAGGTCGACGTCATGGTTGATGTCGTCGTCATTCTCGGATACATCTTCTCTGTTCTTTGGTTGCTACACCCTAGTGACAGTTGGTGGTGCCCGGCCTAATGAAACCCAAATTGATCTAAAAGTTTAACCGTTTGACTAATTGGCATGTGCTTGGGTTAGAAACCCTAATTAGGCTTTAGAAAACGCTAATCTTGGAAACCATAATGTGGGATTTGTCGGGATCTGCATTTTGGACCATTGGATTTATGTTATGACTTATGCCCGATTACATTGTATATTTGGCCTAGTTGGGTGATGGACTTAATGGTGTAACATCCCAAAATATGACCCAAATTTTTTTGTTTAATCATTACTAAAATCATTATTTCAATACCGTAAAATAAAACCCATACGTCAGTATCTCAAAACCATAACACGTATCACAAGAAAATTGAATCAAGACTGAATCAAAACATATCAATGAAAAGCTAAATCAACTCCTAGGACAAACTGAAGTTGTGGTGTGTGCGATGCCATCATCCCGAGCTCTTCCCTTTACTTGCGGAAGTACCTGAAACCAAAACTGAAACTGTAAGCACAAAGCTTAGTGAGCTCCCCCAAACTACCACATACCATACAATTGTTGGATTAATGTCTAAGTCCGTAACTATAATTGGTAAGACTTGACCCGACCTGGCATGGTCCATTTGGGTTGCATGGCATCATGCATTTGGATAGACTATAATGGGAGAAATAACACTTAAATTTGGTTAATATATTATAAGTTCTAATATATTAATAAGGATATTTAATTAGTATTGATCAAGAATTAATTTGGAATTAATTAAGTGATCAAAAGGAGACTAATTAAATATATGGGTTGATTGTGTAAATCATTCATTCTTATATATGTGAGCTTGTGATCCAAGATTCCTTATGTTGGACTAAGTCCATGGGGTGACCCATGATACTCCATGGAGGTTAAAATCCATGAAGCTTAAGGAATGGTTAAAGTTATGAGTTGCATAGAGTAACCCTAATAGCCACCATATAAAAGAATCCTATGGCTCAAGAAATCATGCACTGTGTGTGAGTGTGAGGGCTAGACGATTTCAAGGAGTGTTCAAGTTTCTCTCAAGTTATTCCAAGTGTATTTGGTGTTGTGTGAACCATTTGAGGTGTCACACTTGGGGCACTAGGCACTCAAGCTTCATGAAGACATTCTACATCAAAGAGGTATGTATTCTATCTTGTTATATGCATTCTTTTGTATGCTAGATTAGGATAATACCTTGGATGTTCATAATTGTATGTGTAATAGAGAAAACATATATCCAAAGTATTTAGGGTTGCATGTACACTTAGGAGTGTTAGAATTCTGATAACCCTTCAACAATAACATATAAACACATACTGGGCCTTGCCCACTGCATCGTGCCGAAGTCCGGAAACTGCATCGGACCGAAGTCCAGAACTAACAGGGCCTTGCCCTCTACATCGGACCGAAGTCCGGAAACTGCATCGGACCGAAGTCCGGAACTGACTGGGACCTTGCCCCTGCATCGGACCGAAGTCCGGAACTAACTGCATCGGACCAAAATCCGGAACTGACTGGGACCTTGTCCCCTACATCGGACCAAAGTCCGGAAACTAACTGAGCATAATATAGCATAGCATAAACATATCAACTAGCATGAACACATAAACTGCATACTGCATTGGGCCGTAGCCCGGAACACATAACACATAAACCCTGTCTGAGCCATGAAGGCATCAAACATTCTAACTACTTCATCGGACCGAAGTCCGAAAACTACTACTAGTTAAACGGGTCGGCATTGTGGCCTTAAACCTGTTCCTGCTGGAAGGAAACTCACCTCGTGATGCTGACTGCTGAACTCCTGAATGAGAAATCCCTGACTGCTACTCCAGCTGCTTCCCAGTTATCATGGGAAATAAAATACTAAATAAGAATGGGGATTCTCCTGTGGGTAAAATGACCATTTTACCCCTATTATGGCATGGGTCACAACATGGCCCAAAACCCTCAATTCCTTCTAAGTCCATCCATGGCCCCACTAAAGGCCCATTAATGGCCCAATTTGCTCCATTGGGCCCAAAGCCCTTTATTGGGCCTTACTCAAGCCCAATACTAATCTTTGGCCCATAATAACTAAGTTATGAAGGCCACTAAGGCCCAAATACCCTAAGTCCAAAACTCGGCCCACACCGAGGCTGAGCGTACTGGCTGCTGGCTTGTACGCGGCGCGTACCTCCTTGTACGCCCAGCGTACAGCCCTGTTAAGCCAAAAGTCTCATTAAGTGCTT